ATTATTATTATTATTATTATTATTATTATTATTATTATTATTATTATTTTAATTATTATCATTTTCATTTTATCGATTTTGTGAAAAATCTATTCTGTAATAAATTATTATTTCGTAGAACTCTTAAACTTGTGCGTTTTGCGTATGATCGCGTGTTTCGCGTACGACGCGCGCATAAATTATGGTGTAAAGTACGTGTAATACACGCGTACTGTATATATTTATATTGAAATTATGCAGATTGTTATTGTTCAATCGTAACGTACAACACACGTTCGTGTACGCGGACATGCGCGTGTGTACGTTAGATCAAAAAATTATAAACACAAATCTACGTGTGTATTGCACGCACAGTGCTACGCAATATTGTTATACAACCCGGTATGATGATTGCGTGCGTTGTGCACTCGTTGCAAAAAAAAAAAAAAAAAGGAATACGTCTATATGTTATATTATCCTATATGAGAGAGACGACCGAGTGCGGTTCGTACATTAAAATAGTATTTTTATTCGCACTCGACCGTTTTCCTCTCTCTCTCTCTTTCTTGCCTTCGCGAACGTGTTCGCGCGCGCGTACGATTCGCGTACGCGTCGGCACAAACAACAGGTGTGCACGCGCCCGCCGTGGTGAGACGAAAATTAAAAACCCGTTCTAACGGGTCTCCGCGGCGGAGATTCGTCTCGCCCACCGCCGAACGGGACTCGTGTCCACCCGGCGAACGCAGTGGCGTCTTAACGGGGGGGGGGGGGGGAGGGGAGGGGTGCCCCCCCCCCTTGAGCCGTGAAAAAACTAAAAAAAAAAAACGAATGAGCGAACGGTTTACTAAAACAAAAATCGTTTTGGCGATAGTTGTCAAAACAGTTTACCGTACACAAAAATGTTTGCTCCTATAGAAGTTTGACTGCTAATCGAGTTTGAATAAAAAATAATTTTTCTATCGATAAAAATATTGCGGTATGAAGTTTGTGGAACCTAAAATCACGTCTCGTTGAATCAAGCAATAGGAAACCATAAATGGGATATGTACGCGAACCGTAAGTGTACGGAAAACATTTTCGCCGGTCTCCCCCCCCCCCCTTGTGGCTTCTCGAAAACCGCCACTGGACGAACGACGGGTCCGCCACGCGGTCATTGTCGGCCGCGTCCGATGTTCGCAGGTGCACGAATGATATCCGTACAGCTAATGGGGATGTAGTCGATTGGATACGAAATCTGGACATTCATCTATAATCTACACCCAGTGCTTCCCAAACTTTTTCGACTCACGGCGCCCTTTTTGATTTAAGGTTTTTTTCTGGGCGCCCTTCTTTAAGTCATAACACGACTAATCATAAGGAAAATGTTAGACCCGATAGTATTTCATGACGGCGCGGCGCCCTTATACAGACATCACGGCGCACACTTTGGGAACCTATGATCTACACTTTCAAATATATCCCAGCCATAACAGAGTTATCGCCTGTCTTGATAAGCTCATTTTTATATTTATTTTTACCTTCATTTATATCACGTTAACTTGTGTCGGTCTGTTAGTGTTTACATGTGTAAATCCGTTGCTCTACTGTGTCATACGAAATATGTATATAGTTACGCGACGTCGTCGAACCCGGGTGGGCCACGCGCGCGTGTCCGTTTCGCCGCATTCCGCGTGCCAACGTTCGCACGAGAACGCACCGAAATCGGTTGTCGGATCGCGCGGCCGTCGTTTGTTTACGTTTTACCGTGCCAAACCGTCCGGACACACCGTGAGGTAAAACCGTACGAGAAATACGAACGCTCTCCGATCATCCGGACACGTCGGCATTAGGTGCCCATACACGAACGGATTTTATAACGGATTTGGTCTCTGACGGATTAAATCCTCTAAAAAGTCCTATCGTGTGTGGTGTTCTAAGGATTCAATCCGGCAGATTTAAAATCCAACGGATTTAGTCCAACGGTTCAAGTCTCTCGCTTTGCTACAGACTAAAAGACCAGGTCCGGCGGACCACGGACCTTGATAAGAAATTTTTGATAACTGTTGTAGTCCGTCGCATAAATCCGCAGATCTTTCAGAACGTCTTGAAAGACCAAAGGACTAGGTCCTCAGCATAAAAATCAACGGATTTCCTCCGCTAACCAGCGGACATGGTCCGCTGGTGGATTCGCTCCGCGAAAAATAGCGGACTTTTATTTTCACGTTAGTGGACACGTTAAAGGACCTAGTCCGACGGACCAAATCTTTCAAGGACCTAAGGATGTAGTCCGTCAGACCAAATCCGTTATAAAATCCGCTCGTGTATGGGCACCTATTGTGGCGCGACTAGGGGGGCGCATGAGGGTTTTTAGCGCCCCCTAGTTCAAATTCAGCGTTCCAGTTGTTTTTATTCAGATCCACGCAGAACATATTTTAACGCGCAAACAGGGCCGGCGTTAGAGGGAGACGAAACGAGGCATTTGTCCAGGGTCTCGCGCTTAAAATTTTAATAGAAAAATATTTTGTACGGAAATCTCATAAAATAAAACTTGAAACGCGTGGATCGTCTGGTGAGTGCGATTTCTTGAGAAATCCGTTTGACGTATAACAAAAAATAATTAACAAACAATATTACGAATATTATTACAATATTTTTATGTGTATTTAATGGATGGCGGTGAATTGGTCTCGAAAAATTGATCGCCAGTGAATTAATCGCGAGTAAAATTAGACGCCATGTTAATTGATCGGCAAATAAAATAGTTTTTAATAGTTTTGAACATTTTAATACTGGTTTACAATCCAATATATATATATATACATATAAATATATTATGTAGGTATATCAATGTTGAATAAACAATAGATATTTAATATATTATATAGTTATATACAAAAAACTCAATGGGTAGATAACGTTTGTTGTAACACTTGTAATCAATTATGGTTATCGAAGATAAAATTATTATTGCTATGGACTGCTCTTATCACGATTATACGACTTTTGTTGACTTACTATACTTGACTAATATGACTCGGCGTGGCGATAAATCTCGATATTCAAGGTGATTAAATTTCGAACAACGAAAATTCCATTTTAGTGTTTTACCTCAACTATTGGTCGTACCCGAACACCGTACCTTCTATACAATATTTGTGTAGTATGCTAGTGTGTCTTGAAGTATTGAGTTGTATTAATTTGTATTAAATTGTAGCGCATTTTCCATTTTTTAATAATGAAATTTATTAAGAGTGCAGCATTAATATAAATTTTATAATTATCAATTGTTAATATCTACTTTTATTTTTAATTTAATTTTTACTTGTATGTATACTGTAGTATAGTATTATAATTCAAAAATATTTAAAATTAATCTTTGTTTGGCGATCAATTATTATGGTGACCAATTGTACCCGCGATCAATTCACCGGATACCGTATTTAATATGTCACGAATGCACTCACCCGTATGGCTCGTCGCACGGTATGAAAAACGGGATACCTAGAAAGTTTATCTTGTGGCATTTCTTAAATTTAATTAGTTATTACACTGGCGTGCAGCTGTCATTGTGTCTGATTACATATTATCGTATTTAATTACGGCCTACAGGCGACTATGGTTAATGGTAAAATAAGTTTTGCTCAAGGCCTCGCAAAAGATAGCGCTGGCCCCAGTGGCGCACCTAGGGGGTTAAGGGGTTGTAACCCCCCCCCATGAAATTTTCTCCGATGTCTAGGTTAAAATTTACAAATT